CGGCGGCGGGAGCCTGGTAAAGGCCCGGGTGACGGAAGCTGCACAGCAGCTCAGGTCGCGAGTAAGGGTGTGAGAGGGCTCGGAAGGTGTCCAACGGGCGGATGGAAGTGGCGAAGGGTGATGAGGCGGCTGCAGCGGCGCCCGAGGCCGCGGCTGCAGCGGCCGCTGCGGTGACGCCCACGTGCGGGTAGTAGTGCAGCGGCACGTGCGAGTGGAAGGGGTAGGGCAGGCTTCCGGTGGCGGCCGCGTGCGTCATCATATAGGTGTAGAAGCTGGGGTCGGCTGGGTGCGGCCAGGACATGGCCAGGCGCTGCCGCTTGTCCTTCATACGCCGGTTCTGGAACCACACCTGCGGGAAGAGCGGAGCGGCGCGGCGGCCCGGGTTAGGGAGAGCTCGGTGGCCCCGGGCCCACTCCAGTTTTGCCGGCCCCTCCGGGGCCACTCTCCTCAGACTGGGCCCATCCCTGAATCTCCGCCGGGGGCTCAGCTGGGACTAGTGTGAACAGCAGTTGGGACAAGCGTGGACACAGTCCCCAGACCACAAAGTCTTCCCCCGCTGCGGCGCCTGCGGCTCTTGCTCCCTTGTCGCTTGCTGCTTTTTTCGTTCCCATCCAATCCTTCCTGCCCCTCCCACCATCCATCTGCCTGACCTCACTAAACACCGGTCTCTCGATTCTGAAATTTGTACCAGGATCCTGGACAGCCTTTGAAGAGGCTGCCGCCGCAGCTCGTCTAAAAGGGTAGCCGCGCGAGGTCTTGAGGGGCTCGGGTCTGCTTTTTATATTGAAGGGATGATCCTTTCCTAAAATGATGGGCTGGAGCAACACTTTCTTAAATTGAGAAGACGACTTTTCTACCCCTCCCAACACAGTTTCTAATAAAGACATCATTCGTCACAACCCTAAATTAAAGCAAGAGCTCGATTAAACCGAAGAGAGGCTCCTACACCCCTGCACCACCGTGGGGAGTCTCCTATTTCCTATTCTAGAATGTGAATCCCCCGTGAAGGGTTCACGAAGGCGCCCAACCTCCTGGCTAGATCTCTCCCTGGTTTATAGTAAAATTAACCACCTAACGCCAATAAGGACAATTTCGTTGTGTTCCCCCTGCCCCAAGAGGTTGCCTTTCCCCTTGTTTCCAAAGAGAAAAATGTTTAAGAAACTACTTTCTCAACCCAATCGATTTTTTAAAATACAGTATCCTTTTCTCCATGTTGTAACGATTTATGTGGAAAATAAATCTCTAAGATTGTTCTTTAACAAATGAAGTTTCACCTCTGGCTTCCGTTGGAGAAACAAAGCCAGCCGACTTCACCACCGAGGGGGCAAGTGGGTCCATGGGCATGGGAGAGGAGCGCCTGGGCAAGCTCCAGCGAGGGGAGCGTTTGCGGCAGAGGTGCCGCCATTTGGGGACCTTCCCAGATCAGCCAGGCCGGTCAACCTTTTGGATTCGGCAGTCGGAAAATAAGTCAACTCCTTTGGTGACTACCCCCAGCGAGTTTCCAGGCCCTCAGCTAAATGTACCCACCCAAAAAGCGGAAAGGGGGAAAGAACCACATAAGCAGCCCAGACGCCCCCAGGGAGGGAAGACCTGGGCAAGCGCGAGCTGAAATCAATACCTTGATGGTGGTTTCGGGCAGATTGAGCGCAGCTGCCAGCTCGCATCGGCGGGGCCGCGACACATAGTTCTCCCGGTAGAACTCCTTCTCCAGGCGCGCGATCTGCTCGCGGGTGAACGCCGTGCGGTAGCGCCGTACCTGATCCGCGCCGGAGCCAGAACCTCCCAGCGCCGCGCCCCCGCCGCCACCGCCGCCTCCATGCAGGTTGCCGAGGCCTGAGCCAGGCGTCGACGTGGTGTTGCCCGCGGCGGAGCCGCTGTCCGCGTACCCTAGCAAAGAAACGGCCGACAGCGCATGAGTCGCTGGAGGACCCTGAGCCCCGCGCCTGGGCCACGCGCTGATGAGGGAAGCCGCGACTTGAAGTCGAGGCGCTGCCTGAATTGATAGGGTCTGTCATGCTTACAAATCGCTGCCGTTAATGCAATCAATAAAGTTTGGGATCCCTTTATAACCAAATAATACGACCGGAATTAGAGAACGGTTTTGGGTTGTGATTTTTCTTTTTTTAAATATATATAATATACATATATATTTTTTAATTCATGAGGAAAAATGCCTACCTCTGGGTGCAGTTTGGGAAGCTCTGGGTTTGCAGTAGTCTGGAGACCGCGGGCAGCTTTCTGCACGGCCTTTAGCCTTTTTATTTTTCTTTCCTTTTTGGACAGTCTTTCGGGTTTTGGTAAAATTATTTTAAGAGTTGTAAAACAGCAACAACTCAAACTGGAGCCATTAAGGCGTGAGATGTACTTTTCACCTCTTTTTCTCCTGCGGACCCTACGTGCGTCGAGCAGAGGTAGCCAGCGAAGTTCCCTCCAATTTACCCTGAAAAAACACCCCTTCACCTGACTCTGGGGTTTCAGAGGCGGTGGGCAAAAGAGTTGGGAACAGCTACCCAGGGAGCCCTTCCCTGAGAGTGATTCAGCTACCGGCCCAGGCTCTCTCAACTCGCTCGGGCTTTTGGACGGGTGTGCAGATTCGTTTTTCTCCGGCCCAGGAGAGGAAGCGGACGCGCGGGCTTGGCGCCCCAGGCCTACCCCTCGCTGGGGGCGCTCAAGGAACGGAGTCGGAGGGCACGGTCCCCCGACATCATTCCGACAACGGAGGAACCAGCTCCCGTAGAGAGTGCAGCGAGTCGGAGAAGGGCAAAGGGACCCGAAGGGTCGGCGGGGACCGCGGAGGAGCAGGGAGGATGGGGCCGGGAGGGCGGCGGCTTGGGCGGCGCGGTTACCTTTGCCATTGTTTTCCTTGAGCTGCACGGCCCCGAGGCCTCCGGGGGAGCGCAGAGCCGAGCAGCCCACCTCCACGTCGCTGTTCATATCGGCCTCGGCAGCCGCCTCGGTATAATGACCGGACTTCTTGCGGCTGTCGGCTGCGGAGGTGATTTCGGATGAGACGGTGCTTTCGCTGCCCGGGTGCTGCAGGTTGAATAAAGTGTCTATTTCGAATTTGCCCTTGGCGGGGAGGTCTCCTAGAGCGCCGTGTAGGGGGGCGGACGGCAAGCGCGGGCTGAGGCGAGCCGGGTGCTGCGAATTTTCCAGGGCCTCGAGCACAGCATTGCCAGCCGAGTCGGACAAACTGGAGAATCTCTTGGCGGCCGTGGGGCTGTGCAGCCCTCTCTCCATCAGAATCATCTCTTTTCTTATTCTTTCCATCATCTCAGCTTTCTAAAAAATGTCACAGTGGCCAGACTGTACCGTCCTAATGATGGACTGCGCCTAGGGCTAATTCTCATTCAGCCCCAGCGAGTGCCTCTAAATATTATTATCTCTTTTGGAGGGAGGCGGAAAAATTGTGGGATGCCAGAGCGAGGGAATGACTGGTCAAAATGACCCATACATCCTTCTGAGCCCGAGATGTCATTCATCAAAAAGTAGCGCCTGCTCGTCATTAAGGTACGAATGACGCCGTTCGAATAATCATTTATTGTAACAGGTTTATAAGCAAATAAATACACGCTCCTGTCAGTGGGTAATGAAGGTGGCTTCGGAGCAGACAAATAGATCCAGGTAGGAGGAAAGAAGAGACAAGAACTGAGGATGGAGGCTCCGGTCCTTTGCTCTCTCCGAACCCGCTCTGCTCGCCCAGGGGTTTGGCCTCGGGGGTGAAATTGACAGTCTGATTAATAGAGCGCGCCGCGGCACATTTCCCCCTTCATTTAGGGGCATCATTACGCTCTCAGTTTGCTGGGTTGCCCCTTAGGTCCTAATCATGCAGCGCCTTCCTCATTTTTCCTCGGACACAGATACATGTTAAATAATAGATAATGCTTTGAGTTTACAGAGTAGATCGTTGGGAAGGGAGGGGTTTTTTTTTTTGTTTTTTTTTTTAAACATTTACAAGCTGGGGGCGTGAGAAGAGGGAGGGCAAGGGGGAGGATGCAGGAAGAGTTGCGTAAGGAGACCATGCGCTCCACTCTACATTACTTATCCTTTTGGATTCAGAATCAAATATGTATTTTATTTAACAAATAGGACGCTGAATTAGTTCTCTCTCCCTACTTCTCGGTGTCTGCCCGGCTTTCTCCACAAAATGAGAAAGAAAGAGAGACAGAGAACGAGGGAAAGAAAGAGGGAGACAGGAGGAATTTCCTGTAGTTTTGAAAGAGCTTTCTTGCTACGTGGCCGGTGCATTGGGCCGGCGCATCCAAACGGAAATCATTAGGTCCTCTGATTTTCTAACACTGTTTGCAGAAAGAACTCTGAACTCAAAATTCCGGGTTTCTTACTTTTATAATCCTTCTGACGGGCTTCTCACCTACGCATTGTCCCTGAGGAGAATGAACTCGACAGGATCATTTGATAGCAGAATTAAACAGTCGCGCTTTACAGTGCCAGATGGGCCACCCCAAATCCACTTTTTACGTTGCCAGCTTTCCCCTTCCCTTCTCAAATCGAATTATTTGTGGCGAAGTCGTCTGAGTTCGAGTTCAAAGGTGGAAGTGGAGACTCTTCCTTCTTTCCAGACCACCTTCCCCACCCTGCACGCCTTCCTTCCGCCGTCCTCCCCTGCCCCCGCCCCCCTCTTACCTGTGGCGGTGAGAATTCTCGTCGCCGAGACGGGACCAGCCTCGCTGCTGCTCCTCGCTGCCTCAGCTAGGCAGCTGAGCCTCTGGGCGATAACATTGATGGTTATAATGACGCCGGTGGCAACCATTTTAACGAAGATCAATCTTCCCTCGAGGCCGCTGTGCGTCTCCTTCCGCGCTTCCGCCCCACCCTGCCCGGACTTGCGATGCGATGCGCTGTGCCCGCCCGCCAGCAGCCCAACGAGAGAAGAACGGGCACCAAAAGAGGGCAAGGGAGGACAGGGACGGGACACAGTGTGATGGGACCGCGAGCCGAAAGAGCCTGGCAATTTGGGCTCTGGTAACATGTCCTGCATTCCCGCCCCAACGCTAACCCAGGCCCCTACTGGGCCCCCTCCCTCTGCCTCTTGCCACACCCAGTACTTCGAGGTGCGGTAGGGTCAAACCCTGCTTCTGTTTGCCAGTCTCGCTGTTGGCACTTTCCTTTTAACCTTGGACCCCGTTGGGGGCGCGTCAAGAATGTAATGGGAAGCCAAGTGTGAAGTATATTTATATACATATACACACATATAGTCAATGCCAAAAGTTTCCCTCTGGTTCCCCCTCAGCGCAAATTTAGTTCAACTACACGCACTTTGCTTCGAAAATCAGTTCTACCTCTTGAAGGTAATAAACGAAGTTTTCCTTCAAGGTGAGAAACGGAAAGCTCCGTATGTACGTGGGTGGGGTGGGGGTTATGTGAGACAGTGCCTGGAACCTAGATGGTGACTGGACCCAGAGTCCGCCTCCACCCCGACCCCAGCTGCCACCCGGCTGTGAGCTCGCTACCATCCCGGCCCCCTCTGTTCTGCTCTCCGGCCACTACTAACTTGAGTCTGCGCTCAACCATCGGACGCCCCTCTATAACCCCCTCCTGGCACCCTAGGCCGGCGCCCAACTCCACCACCAGAGTCCTGCCACACGAAGTTGCGGGGTGGGGGAAGGCGCGGATTCAGCGGGATAGGAAAGGAACCCAATCCCCAACCTCCCCAGGGTCTCTGCTTGCTCCTCGGCCGGTTCCGGACTGAATGGGGCACCTTGGTCCAGCTGGGGCGGGTGGGAGGCAGACGGTGGGAGGCCCGAGGCTAGTGGGGGGGGGGCAGTGGAGGCGCTGCCTGGGCGGAAGTCTGCGGATGCCTTTATTGCTGTCGTTTGGCGCCCCCGTCTGTTTCCCTCGCGCTTGCGGCGACTGTGTGCAGCTTTTCAATCGCTGAACCCGTCGCCCCGGGCTAAGGAGCATGGCGACCCTTCCCCCATCACCTGACTCGTGGGTCCCCACTTCCTCCCTACGTTTCACTGAGACCCCTCACCGTCAGTCCCCGATGCTGCGCCAAATCCGACTAAAGCCCCAGTGTGTGGAGACGGGAAAACACGATTTCTCGGTGACACACCTTCATTCATTAGTGGTTTTGAAACTATTTTACACCTTTTAAATAACGCTACGTACACTAGCACGTTTATTCTACGTACACTAGCACGTTTATTCTACGTACACTAGCACGTTTATTACAAAAGTACATTCGAGTGTTAAGAAACGACTCAGTAAAAGATAGATATAATTTTTCCACCAAACTGTAGTTAGCAGACAATGTTACATGGGACACAGTGAACATTTCAATCCAATATTTAATATCCTTTAATTTATTTAGAATCCGTAACTACTATTAATAGTAGCACTGTCTACCATACACAGTACTTTACTATGCAAGTCCAAGTACTTTCATCTAAAGATCACAGTAACTCTCCTTTCAGATCCTTATTCATTTTCCAAAGATGAGCAAAGAGGATCAGGGATTTGCTCATGTTTTAAACTTACCTCAGGTAATATCACATTGTTATAAATAGGGTAGTTTAAAAGGTCTAGGCAACATTTTTGGTTTATTTTCTCATTTTGCATGTTTCTTCTTTTAATACAGGCCTACCTCGAAACACTGAGTCTATATATAGTCCTGAGACGATGTGTGCTATTCTGTTGATGTTTATCAGTGAAATGCCCAAATCTTGCACTTTCCCGGAATATCTAGAATGGGAAAGGGCCTGTCAAATGCCCCCAGTTTTTAGACACAGTCTCTGGTCGCCAAGGATTTCGACCCACTTCCAAGGTATAGGTCCCACACAATAAAATAAGATGACAAGTATCCAACCTATGCCCATGCAGTTTAGCAGGAATTTTTTTCCCCCTTTTATTGTGTGATAGTTTACATGAGGGAACATTAGCTTTACACTCATTCTATCACACATAGTTTCACTGCCATAGTTACCATCCTGTCCATGCATCATCACCCAACCAAAGGTTATACCCCGCATGCCCCCCCCCCTCTCCCCACGGTCCTCAGCACACAGCTCCCTCCCTCCCTGGATCTCAAGTCCTCAGCCACTCCATCTCTTCATGTCATCCTCTCTGTCTCCATCTCAGGCCTCGCTGCTTCTCTGGGTGGGGTCCCGATTTCTGGTCTTCTCCAGTGTTTGTCCCAGAGGCCTTCGCTCCTAGACTGAAAGGTTAATCACATCCCTCCTTGCTATAAAATATCCACCTTTACCTTTCCAGTCCTCACAATCCATCCTGATAACAATTATTCACCCCTGCATCACAAGAGACCCATCTGCATTTCTTTTCATCAGCCCTTCCTAGACAGGTTGGATATTACTCACTTGAGACTCCATCCTCCTCCCCGCCCTGTCGATCCAGGATCCCTCTTGAAAGCTTGTAAGCCAGTCACTTCTTACCTTTGTATCCCTCCCCCCATTTTGGGTAGCCAATGTTCAAGTTGCCCATCCCTATACTGGACATATTGTACCCCCTTTTTAGGTATTCCAGCCAGTTCCAGGCAGAAGACAGACTTACAAGCTTTCTATGATGGTATTTCTGGTTATTCCTCCCTCTGCTGTCCGGTGATTGTTTTATAATATAATGCATGGAAAACCAAGGTTCAAGAGTCAGCCAAGCATCTCAACATTATTCCCCCGCTTTCCCCATTCCAACCATGTCCCAGTCTCTGTATCCCAGAGCCCTGTTGTTCCAAAGGCTGAGCCTATATCATTTATTACCTCTGTCCCATTTAGCTCATTCCTACCTGTCTGTTCTCCCATCTGCTTTATTCCTCCATTCCCATCTCCCTACTTGTATATTGCCCCCCTCCCCAACACCCAAGCTATCCCGTGTCTATTCCCTAGCAGGAATTTTTAAGATGTCTTGGTGGGGAGGAAGACTTTCTTCATATAGACTGAAAAGAACTATTTGCTAGAAAGGAGGAATGACATGAAAGAAGCCTAAATGTTTTTGCTAGGCCTCCAGACTAAATATTTATTTCTTGGCCAGCGGCGGGTTCTCCGTGGTGAAGTGGTAAACACTCTGAGCCTGCGTCTGCAGGTAATAAAAATGTGTCCCGGCTGGCCGAGGGAGGCGGCGCTGGTAAAACCCGAGCTGTGGCGGAGCCCGGAGACCGTCTGGTCCTGATTCCTCTCTTCCGCGCAGAGGATTTAGGGCCACGCTGGCCCCAGAGCCAGTGGCCTGCTGAGGACTGGGATTGCAGGGACTGGTGAGAAGGCGGGAGGGTTAGAGCCTGGGGCTGCGAACCCTGGGCACGGTTT